TTTGATTATACGTCCCTTATGAGAAATATTTTAAGGACAAAAAGAACTTCAAAGAAATCTTAAGCTATATTTAGTCATCTTATTGTGACTAGTAGTATTTGTATTGTTATTTTGAAACTGATATAGATATATCAGAGGATAAAGCAAAAAACATACAAATCAAGATTTTCAGTGTAAAGGAAAAGAGATACAAATATAATACCAAAGAAGTTAAGGTAAAATCCTGTGATCATAGACATTAACTAGAGAATTATCATTGTTTTACTTTTAAAAAATGTATTTCCTTACCATGTCCATTGCAAAAACTTAGAAGCAATGACAGCCCAATAGCAATAAACACCTAGTGTCCAGATTGTGGCCTCTGAGTAAGTTGAAGAGGAACCAGAGCTCCTTGGAGAAGTAGCTGATTTGAGGTATGGGGTAACAAATGCATAACATAAACATTGGGGGGGCCTTTTGTATCACAGCAAGGAAGCGCTCATAGACGAATGGGATAATGTCTAAAGGATAAAAGAGTCATCTTGAAGATGTATCCGCTCGCCTAAGATAGAACATTTTGAGCATCAAAAAAAGTAATGATTGTAATGGATTGAGATATATAAAATATTAATATGTAAAAAGCCATGAATTATAATAATACAAAAAACCCTCATTGGTCATCACTGAAGATTGCTAGGGCAATCTGACAGTAGTTACTTTGTAATGTAGTTGTGAAGGTTAAATGGGATATTACACATGAAATGCTGAGAACAGGACTTGGTATATAGTAAGAGCCTAGTAAATATCAGCATTGATTATCGCCTTTTACAAAAGAAGAAAGTGGGACCCAGAAAAGTTGCAGAACATTAACCAATACTTCATGTAACCAGATGAACCAAGAGCTGCCTCCTGCTTAACTGCAGCTCTTGCTTTTACATACAAACCTTCACATTTTCAATCCTTATTCTCTTAACTTCCTAGAAGTCAAACATTTACATTTAATTTGAGTTCGGCCCCCAGGCTTCAATCAGATTGGCCTGGTTTCCAAATCTGGAGCCACTCTGTTTAGAGCCTGGAAAACCTTGAATCCATCACTGTAATTTACTAGCTCCATGACATAGAGCACATTTATTTTATGTGGCTGAAGTTCAGTTTCCTCTGAACTGGGAGGTTATGAAGATTAAATAAGATGATGTCTTTACAGTGTTGATGATAGTGCCATAGTGCTTAATAGATGTTATACAAATCTACCACTCATCTTTCAAGAAGAGGGTTTGTTTGTTTGTTTTGCTATTTGGGGGGACGTTGAGGCAGGGTCTCACTCTGTGACCCGAGCTGGAGTGCAGTGTCATCATCACAGCCCACTACCACCTCAAACTCCTGGGCTCAAGGGATCCTTCCACCTCAGCCCCCTGAGTAGCTGGGACTACAGGCATGCACCATCACACCTGGCTAATTTTTCTATTTTTTATAGAGACAGGGTCTTACTACATTGCCCAGGCTGGTCTTGAACTCCTGGCCTTAAGCAGTCCTCCTGCCTGAGCCTCCCGAAGTCCTAGGATTACAGGTGTGAGCCACCGCGCCCAGCCTAGAAGAGGAATTTTATTGTAGGAGAAATTAATACAGTGTTAGGGAGTAGAAGTTTTAGGTGGTTAGATATTTGTGCCTTTATGTAAGGATCCATTCATTTTTTTAAGTGCCACAAATGTTCTTCATCTTTCCTTAGCAAGAATGCAACCATAAAAGGTTTCTATCAACATTTCTTAAAAGACTGCTTTCCTTCCTTTTTTTAATTATTATTATTTTTACTGAACCCACTCTCCTGCAGAAGATTGCTTCCCTTCTGAAATCCTGGAACAAGTGCGGAGACAATTCTCTTACCAAGGCAGGGAAAGGGGGCATGTGTCATCACTGACTTCCTCTGTACATTATCGACTGAACTCTTTCCATTTCTTTCCTCTGAACGTGGAGCCCATGCTGGAACTGCCTTAGGAGGCATCATCTTCTTCTTCACCTACCTCCCGTACCTGTACCTCACTTTGAGCTACACCCAGAGAAGCTACTTCGAAAAGATTGTCTCTTGTCTCTTTTCAAATGTTGCCATGGCAATGGGAGTCCAACTCATCTCCATGTTTGAGGCACAAGGTGAGCTTTCTCTCTCTGAGCTGCCTTGATGCTTTTCCCTGGGCAAGGCTGGCCTTTGTGTCCAAATAAACATAACTGGCTCAGTGTTCTGAGCACTGACGACATACTTAAAACTATGGTAAGCACTGTGTGGGACACTAAAGAAATAATAAATATGGTTCACAATGTACAGTTTACAATGTAGTTGGAGAGAAAAACTAAAGCATATCAAAGAAGTAGGAAATTATATGGCTATGTAATTAGATATATAGGTTTATGATTAGAAGTTCAGATAATATTTCAGAACTTTACAGATAATGTAGCACTTTTTACATATATCATATTTTATTCTTATGGCCTTTGGGGTCTCTTCTTTTACTGGTTGATCTAGGGGACCTTCTATCAGAGGTGTTCTAGCTCCCGTATAACTTCCATAGTTGGAGTGCAATCCTAAGTTTTCCAACTCCTATGTTTCTGGAGTTTGAAGAATTCCTCACAGCATCTGCAGTTCATTGCAGAAGATTATAGCCCAACAATCAGTCAAAATGTGGGACACCCTGCCCTGTGGGGTGTGATACTTGCTGTCTCCAGTTCCAGCGGTACACTAAGATGATGTACTTGTGAATGTTCTAACAAGTGCCTTCATTGCTCAGTGTTTGGTTCCGAATATTACATCTGGTTTAGCAGCAGATGACAGGAATAGGAGTTATAAGCTGGATTTAGTTTGTGGATCCCCTTGCTGTGATTGGAATAACCACCATGACTTCGTTAGAGGCTTCACCTACCAATGAATTATTTAAGTTGGGATGGTCCAAATGGGCCCTAGGCTTAAAGCTGCCTAAAATATAGTAAAGGATGTTAAGTCAATGATAATTTATTGAAATTAAGTGGTTTTCTTTAACAAAGCAATGATGAAAACACAATTACAAATACTTGTGGGGAAAAATAGATTTAAATGGTATGTTGATTCCTTATATGTTAGTGAATGAATATGTGTTCTTTGTGGGGCCTGTCCGTTGAAAGTTGAGAGAATTTGGGGGAGAGGTTTCACTGAATTAACTCTTAGATTTGTCACATGCTAAGGTTCTCTCGATTTGAAAGCACACTGACCTTGTTGAACTTGGGATCAGTGTCCTTCCTGAAAGGCACAGGATGGCTCACAAATGTGTGTCTGCTGTCATGGATGCCCACAGGCAGGCGGTAATCCCTAAGGACACGAGTAGTGGAATGTTGGGCATCTGCTCCCAACAGACCCCACGTCAGGGGTTGGAGATACTGAGATAAAGACTGTCTCTGGCTCCAGAGACACACACACCGGGGACAGTGGTAAGTGAACAGATTCACAGCGCAGTGCAGGACCTTCTGTGAGGTAGCACAGGGTGCTCCAGACGCATGTGGATTGAGCATCTAACCCTAACGAGGAGAGTGGGTATGTGTGCTTCTTGGGTAAGGAGCTGTCTGCACTGATCTTTGGAGGAAGAATGAACAAAGAAGGTGGGAGGAGTAGGAAAACATTCCAGATAGCATGTGCGAAGGTGTGGAGATGTGGCCAAGTTTCTTACTTCTTGGTGCCAGTGAAAGTACTACCACCTTTTGGTAATAATAAAAATATTTTATCTCAGGGGAGAAACTTCTGGAGTTTTCCCCTTTCCTGTCCCTAGCATTGGTTCCATAATGTCCCAGACACAAATAGCCCAGTCTTGTGATCGGCCTGGTCCCTGACTGCTTGAAAAATTCCAGTAACTGTTCTCCTCTGTCTTTTGTTTTTTCAGAGACAGGGCCTCAGTAGGCTGTCCAGGCTAGAGCGCAGTGGCCGTTCGCAGGCATGATCAGAGCTCGTGGCAGCCTTGAATTCCTGGGCACAAGCAATCCCCCTGCCTCTGCCTTTGGAGTAGCGGGGACTACAGACACGCACCGCCATGCCCGGCTTCTCTCTGTCTTTGATGTGATGACTGATTTCCTTCCTCTGGAACAGGCACAGGCATCCAGTGGAGGAACATGGGCAGTGTGAGCGGAGAGCTGAGCTTCACTCAGGTGCTGCTGCTGCTACTGCTGGACTCTTTCTTATACTGCTTAGTGGCCTGGTATGTGGAGTCCATCTTCCCAGGAAAGTACGGTACACCCAAGCCCTGGTACTTCTTTGCCCTGGTAAGTACTGATGCCGTTTTGAAGATTGGTGTGAGACTTTACATTGTTTATTATCAACATTCCTACCCGCTCCAGTGATGTCCCGATTCAAATCCCAAACTCCAGGAAATCTCTAACCTGTGTTCATTCCAATCCTATCAGTTTATGGTTGCCAATGGAGCATAATTAACAGTGAGTCTCGGTTTCTCTGACTCTTGCCCCACTGCTGATGTACGGCGTCAGTCCACACAGAGTCCCCCACCCCTGAGAGTGCCTGTGCATGTCGCACATGTGCCCACTCAAATGTCAGGGCGCATTCTCCCAACATGCTAGAGTTCTCACGCTGCCTCTTTCCCCATTGAGCGGCACTGTTGGAATGGCCCTGAAGCTTTTTGAGACCCATGTGACTCCCAGGGCACTGGCAGGGGACACAGCTTTTGTCGACAACCCCATGAAGTTCTCAGAATCACCTCTCTCCCACGATGACCAAGTTTATCTTACAAAGCTGAGCTCTTCATGCCTGCTTTAGTCCTCCCGCAGTAGCATCTGGTGGCCTTGCCCCATGGTCCTGCTGTGACTGATCCTGTCTGAATCGCACTCAGTTGGGACCTCTGCAAAGGCTGCCACACTTGCCCTTCTTGTAGGGAGATGGGTAGACAGTTAACTCCAGTATTTCTCCAGGCCTCCACCCACAGGATGCTGAGTGCTGACACGATGGCTTCCCTGGTACACCAGGAGCATCTTTTGTAACTCTCCTGGGGACCATGGGCTATAGGTTGAAATGCAGTTGATTAGTAGTGACTCTATGAGTAAGTTGCTTAACTTCTCCAGGCACCATTAAATATTTGATACAACAAGTAAACCATGTAGCGGGAGGGGAGAGTCTAATTTACCAAAATATTTATCTTCCAGAAAAGGAAGTCAATTCACCTAAATGATTAATGTGTATGTTGACTTCTTCTCCAGCCCTCCTACTGGCATGGAAAACCTGTACCTTTTACACAATCACTGCTGGACATGAGGGGTCCTGTAAAAGCTCCGAAAAGCGAGTTTATTCAGGAAGAGCCTACTGATTTGATTAAAGGAATTGAAATCCAGCATCTACGCAAGGTATTGGCTCACAGATCTCCTTCCAAGAACTTAAGATATGGTGCATATAAGCTTCTGTTTTATTCTAACAGTGGTTACAAGGGTATGTTTTGTGATTGAAGTTTTTAATTCCCTTCTGTTATGCTATCCTCAGAATTAGAAATATAACTTGAAATGTCCCATTTTCTGTCATAAAGTTAAATGACCAGATAGAGGGCCTAGATGATCTCTCTCTCTTTTTTTTTTTTTTTTTTTGAGACAGAATCTCACTCTACTGCCCTGAGTAGAGTGCCGTGGCGTCAGCCTAGCTCACAGCAACCTCAAACTCCTGGGCTCAAGTGATCCTCCTGCCTCAGCCTCCCGAGTAGCTGGGACTACAGGCATGCGCCACCATGCCCGACTAATTTTTTCTATGTATTTTTAGTTGTCCATCTAATTTCTTTCTATTTTTAGTAGAGATGGGGTCTCGCTCTTGCTCAGAGCTGGTCTCGAACTCCTGAGCTCAAACGATCCACCCGCCTCAGCCTCCCAGAGTGCTAGGATTACAGGCGTGAGCCACCACGCCCGGCCGATCTCTCTCTTGAAAACAGTCACCTCTCATCCTCCCAATGCCAAACACCCCCTTGTTGGAGACACATTGGAATTCAGCCATTTGATGGATGACTTTTATATAACGAAATCATATTTTAAACGAGATTCCACTGTTAGATTCCAAATGTAGAAGTAGAGGCATTTGTTCTTTCACAAGGGTTTGCTGAGCACTTGCTACATAGAGAGCCTTGAGGTGACTGAGCACTCCCATAACAGGATGCCTGGATGTGAATGTATGCCCTGGAGTGTGCTACAGAGCGTTGCTGTTTCGTGTGGAATCTTCTGTCCTTCAACTGTGAAGGACACTGCAGTGCCCTTGTACCACTGATGCTGTGGCACTGTGCTGCCTTGTTCTGCTTGTCGAATCGAGTGGATCATGTCCCAGCCCAGGGTACTCAGGAAGCGGTGCTGGTTCCAGCTGCTCCACGCAGCATGGGGGTAGTTAGGAATGCTCGAGTCTTCACCCAGCTTACTGTGGGGACTTCGGTTTCTTTTCTCACATAACAAGCAGTTAAGGCAGATGATTCTGACATGATTTCAGCTACTCAACAAAGCCATCCAGACCACAGCACCTTCTGACTGATAGATTTTCCCTGGGCCATTTGTAGCCTGTTAGCTTTTATCCATCATCTCATGGTTGTAAGATGGATACTTAGCTCCTCTATGGGGAAAGATAAAAATTAAAATGCCTTCTTTTGGCAAGACTGCCTTCCGGCCTTCCTTCCTTCCTATGTTCCTTCCTTCCTTCTTTCTTTCCTTCCTATTACCCCTTATTTTTATTGCCCAGAATTCTGTCACATGGTCACCTCTACTGCAAGGAAGACTGAGAAGTCAGGGAACAGGACTGTCATACTTGACTTAAAATAATAGAGGCCGGGCACAGCGGCTCATGCCTATAATCCTAGCACTTTGGGAGGCTGAGGTGGGAGGATCGCTTGAAGCCAGGAGTTCAGCCTGAGCAAGAGCGAGACCCAGTCTCTATGAAAAATAGGAAAATCTGCAAGCTCCAGGCCCTCTGTGTTTTAGGTGCTCTACTACCAGGTTCCAGGGATCAGGGAAAAGATCCCATGGGATTGTTCCGGGTCAGCTTCCTCAGTACTCCAGGCAGTTATACACTAAAAGAAGGGGCTCCTTATTTAAGATTTACACTTGGATTCCCACTGATGAACTTTCAAGAGAAGTTGATGGGTGTGCAGCCCGTCATAGGTTCTTAGAAATGTTCTTCTTCCATGTGCACATCTTATACTGTCAATCACACCTTGGCTTTTCCCACAGGTGTTTCCCAGAGGAAGCACTGCACACGTAGCAGTCAAAGATCTCACCATGAATCTATACAGAGGACAGATCACTGTTCTTCTGGGACACAACGGGGCAGGAAAAACCTCCACCTGCTTCATGCTCACAGGTACGTGTGTGTGGGGTCAGCCCTCCCGAGGAAGCTCTGAAAAAGTCATTGAACAGATCTAGATTTTTGGCTCTATCTCCCTCTCATTAGATTTCACTGATATTTTAATATTAAGCATTGTTTGCTATTTGTTTTACCATCTATGTAGTGTCTGGTGGTTCAATTAACCCTGCACTGGGAGAAGGAAATCTTTGGCTTTCAGTCAATCTGCAGAACTTATTTTTATTCGCTTATTAACTGAAGAAAATGACAAAGTTCATAAACTTGGAAAGGAGAGCTTTGTTTCTCGTAAAGCATTGCAGCCTGTGGGTGGCTAATCTGACAGGCCAGAAAGCAGAGCCCTGGCCAGAAGCCAGGAACATGTGCTTCAAGGCAGGGACAACGGGAACAGGAATTTATACTGAGTGGGGTGGCCAAATATACGTATTTAACAAGCTATAGGAGGAGTCATGTGTATTTATGAAAGGAGAAACATGCACTTGTGCAGTGGAACTTTCTGCCCCTTTATAGGGTCCATGTTCGGAAATGGTGTCCCTCTGATGTCAAAAGGTGAAGCAAGGACACAAAAACTCTCTGAGCCTGCTCCACAGACTGGTTAAAACCACTCCATGGCTGGTGGTCTCCTGTCAGGAAAGAGTGCTGGTCTGGATCATGAGGCTGGTTTCTGTTTATAAACGCCCTTAGGAAAAAAGCCTGATGGCCGTTAGCAAGGGAGGGGGTAAAATAAGGCGTATTTGACCTCCCACCCCATCATGGCTGGGAACTCAGTTTTGAGGTTTCTCTGGGGTCCCTTTGGCCAAGAAGAGTTTGTTCAGTAAGCAAGGGCTTAGGATTTTATTTTAGTTCATGTACTATTGAGAAGTTATGAACAGTGCTTAGCATTTCTTTCCAGATAGAACCTCCTATTCTGTTTGGAACAGTTGGATACCACCAATCTCCCAACAAAAAAAATCTTCCATTTGCTTTTCATTGCCCGAGGCACTTTAAAAATGATGCCTGGTGAATTATTCTAAAATGATGTCGGTTTCAGAATAATTTTTATGCCTAAATAATTCTTTCACATTCCATCAACTAAAATATTAATAATATTCTTGAAATTCAAAAACTCTTTTATTCAAGAAATATATATTTATTGCAGATTTAACATGTGTAAATGAACCAGTGAGATTCATTTTCAACCTTCAAGGAGCTCAAAAAGGCAACCAATTCTTCCTCACTGAACACAGCACACCCAGCTGCTGGGAAGCCATTAGCACCCTGCAGAGTTAGTCTGCGCGATTCTCCTCACACGTTGCTCATGTGCCCCCAGTGAAGACATTTGAAGAGCAGCAAAATGGTGAAGTTTGGTCAGAGGTATCTTTAGCCACCCCTCTGGTATCAGGACTTTAAAAACCAAGTCTTGACCCAGCAGATGCTCACTGACTAAGCTCTGTGTTCGTCAGGACTGGGGACTGAGCCCCAGCCAGCGTCCCGGACTGGGGCACAGTGGTGTTTCTAGAAGTGCAGTCCTCTCCCAGGTATGGGCATTGTTGCTTCCGGCGGTGTGACCATTTAGGGAAGGCCTCTCCGCTATATGGCCTGTGAGATCCTCACTGTCTGAAGGGTGATCCAGCCCCACCCCCAGCTAAGTGGTGGAGGAGGCAAGCCAGGTCCCAGCACTGTTTAAGGAGGGCGCGTGGTAGAAACACCCCACGGGCTCCTTTACATTCCTTTCTGTTTTGTGCCCAGTATTCCTTGGATTCTGTAATCATCTCATTTGTTTGTGTGTATGTGTGTTATTTCTGTCTCCCCTATCCCTTTCCCCAGTTCTGTTTACTTCTGGATTCAGTGTCTGAATAGTGCTTAGCAAGGATAGGCACTTAATAAACACCATTGCAGGAATGACTGAATTAATTAATTAACGTAATTGCAAATACTGCCAAAATGCCAACTGTGAATGACGTATCATAGAAACCCTGCTGTGGAATTCTACCAACAGTGACAGGGCATATAAAAAGCTAACACAGCCCTGCAGAAAGGGGCATGGCTAGAAGACATATAATGGGGTTCAGTAGCCCTGAAGATGCTAAGCTGGGAAGGGGAATCTGGCTGATTGCCCAGGACATTGGACAGAGAAGGCTATATATCTTTTTTTCTCTTTTTTATGTATTTATTTTTTTTGAGACAGAGTCTTGCTCTGTTGCCCAGGCTAGGGTGCCGTGGCATCAGCCTAGCTCACAGCAACCTCAAACTCCTGGGCTCAAGCGATTCTCCTGCCTCAGCCTCCCAAGTAGCTGGGACTACAGGCATGCGCCACCATGCCCAGCTAATTTTTTTTTTTATATATATGTTTTTAGTTGTCCAGCTAATTTCTTTATATTTTTAGTAGAGATGGGGTCTCGTTCTTGCTCAGGCTGGTCTCGAACTCCTGAGCTCAAACGATCTGCCTGCCTCGGCCTCCCAGAGTACTAGGATTACAGGAGTGAGCCACCGCGCCTGGCCAGAAAAGGCTACATATCACAATTATTTATAGAAAGGCCCAAAACTTGGCCTAGGAATTTTGTTTCTTAAACCCCGTTTCTCTTTCCAGTAAAGTTATGTGGGTTTTTTGGTTCTTCTATGAGTTCTTCTATTTAGTTCTTCTGCTATTATAACTTTACATTAAAAGACTTGTTACATTTACTATAGAATAGCATCACCTTTTTTCCTTTTTTTCACCAAACAATCATGACTGCTTTATTACCCACAGCCAAAATGGAAGATCTAAAAACCCAACCACAGAGTAAGTTGGCAGTAAGTATCAAAAACCTTTAAAGTCTTGCCCCCCTTTTGACCTACCAAACCTATTTATATTGATTTAGAGTAAGGACATAACTGTGGAAGTAGGCAAAGTTATATCACATGTTTATACTTGTCAAAAATTCCAAATAAGCTAAATATCCATCAGTGTGGGTTGAATAAATAGGGTATATTCATAACAATGAAATCTTTTTAGTTCTTAAAAATGACACAGATTTTGTTGATGTGGAAAAATGGCCTCAGTACATTGTTATGTGAAAAAGCCAGTTAATATGATATTAGAAAGCCAGATAAAAAGTAGAATTTACACTTACATTCTCATTTTTGTTAAAAAATAAATATGTGAGTTTGTCATGCATAAAAAATATCTAAGACTTTGTAGCAAAATGTTAACAGCAGTTATCTGTCAGTGATGGGACTTGTGTAACCTTTGTTTTGTTACCTATTTCTTTTTCTAACCTTGTTGCAATAAGGATGCATTGCCTTTTTCAACCTGAGAAATATATTTAGAATAAGAAAAGCAGAATAAAGACAAAGATAGTATGCAAGTGGGCAGACTGCAAAGTTTTACTCTGGGATTCATTTGGTAGTGAGTGTAGTCATTCATTCATTCATTCATTCATTGAGTAGATATTTCTCAGGAATCAGGTAAGTCATAGACCTTGCCTTCAAGAATCTCAGTTCAAAACTGTTAGATTCCTGAAATACTTTTCTCCTTAACCATATCTACTAGGCACCCAAGTCATTATTTAGTACTTACAGTAATACCATGTGCTTTACTAGAACCTATGTGTGTGTTATTCACTTAACCAGATTGGAGTTCCTCAAAAACAGGAGGGACCTCTCCTATCTCTGATATTAATGTCACCACATATCCTTGTACGTTGTTACGCATAGAACATATGCTCCTTGGATGTCACTGACTGACTGGCAAAGAAGTAGAATATGGATAGTCTGTGTGAAAACAAGCAAACAAAGCAGAAGGTATCATTAGGCCTTTGTATTGCAGTGTGCTCTTACTGAAGATGGTTTTAGGATGTGTCTTCCCTTGGTTCTAGGTCTCATTATGCCTTCAAGTGGACGGGCATATGTCAATGGATATGAAATTTCACAAGACATGTTTCACATTAGGAAGAGCCTGGGCTGGTGCCCCCAACACGATATCTTATTTGAAAACTTCACAGTAGCAGAACATCTTTCTTTCTATGCTCAGGTGAGTTGGTGGATAACAGTGATTGTTTCCTCTGTATACATTCTTGGGAATAGTGAGATCGACTGCCGCTCCTGACTCAACCTGAGAAGGTCTTTAAAAAGAAACCTCATATTTCTCTGCTCTCAACACTTCTGACACCAAATGTGCCTGGGGTTTTCCCACACCAAACAATTCTCCAACTCTCCAGACACCAACTGGGTGTTCTACAATTCACTTCCGATGCTAACCTCCTGGAGTTAGCACAGACCCCACAGATTTAGGGCTCAGTCCCACAAGACTTCTCCCCTACTTCAAATGCCAATTACAAGTCCCAGATTGTCAACTTCTAACCAAATGGCTGTCAATTGGGGGTTCCCACAATCACCTCCTTAGGTTTAATAATTTGCTGTAACGGCTCACAAAACTCAGGTGAACACCAGATGAAGAAGTGTTAATACATAGGTCAAGGTATGTGGAAAGGGGTGCCCTCTCTGAGTGTGCCACCCTCCCAGCACCTCAATGTGTTCACCAGCCTAGAAACTCTTCGAATCCCGTAGTTTAGAAATTTTTGTGCAGGCTTCATCATGTAGGTGTGATCAATTATTAGCTCAATTTCCAGCCCCTCTCCTCTCCCTGAAGGATCGCGGGTGGGGCTGAAAGTTCCAAGCTTGGAATCATGGCTTGGTCTTTCTGGTGACCAGCCCCCATCCTATTGCTGTCAAAGAGCCTGCCCAGAGTTGCCTCATTAGAACAAAAAACATTCCTATCACCCAGGGATTTCCAAGGGATTTAGGAGCTCTGTCAGGAACCAAGGCAGAGATCAAATATATATGTTTCTTACTATGTCACAATCTAGAAACCTCTTCTGGACACAATTACCTAAACATTCAGGAA